CCACAAAATATAGGGTACTTTGTTTGATAAAGTGCAAAAAAAGAAATTTTTGTTTTTAAAAGCCCCTAAGGGGTTCAAACAATAGGCCCCCCCATTTCAACAAATGAGTTTTTTTAGACTAGAAGAGTTTTGCCTTTTAAGACGGGAAAGTATAGCAGTTAAAGTTGCTACTTGAGAAAATACTTTACCATAGAGATAAAAATAGCCCTGTGATTCAAATTATAAATTGTATTTGGAATAAAAATGAGAGAACTAGGGGTGGTAAAAAACACATCCTCCAAAGACAGATATTTACATGGAAATGTGGCATATAATTAATTGACATATAACTGATCTTGCTGGATTTTATGCTTTACTTCCATAAATTGCAGGATCTTTACTTTATCTTTGCCAGAAGATTTAAACTTTCAAAGCCCTGCCTTCATAATTTGCAAGTTTATTTATAAAGTAAATATAAACGCTGCTTAAGCTAATTCAAATGAAATTAAAAGTAAAATAAGTAGGCAACCTTATCACTGTCTGTAACCTACTAACACGGTAAGGAAAGCATCAGATGAGCTACCTGAGAAACTAACGTTACGTTTCCCCACTTTAAAACCAAACAAACATAGTGGTTCCGTGCCATGTTAATTTGTTTTGACAAAAGTTGCATGTTACGACTTTTTTCACTTTACAAAGCGCAGGCTGTTTTAATTATTGTGATCAATTTGCGCCGTCAATCCCGGCGCATGCACGCTTCATTTGCAGTCTGGACGCTGAGGGTAAACATCCTGCGGCTCTGACTGCAGCACTGATTCATGCGGGAGCCGGAGAACGGGGTTGGGATGGGGAGGCGCCCCACGCAAGAGTAGGAACGATACATGCTTTCACGTAAGAGTCTCCAAAAGACGCCAGTGACACCGTAAAAAGTCGCTAGTCGCTTTTTTGAAAAATAGTCGCTGGAGGGGTCTGAAAAGTCGCTGAGTTGGCAACACTGCACCTGCGGCGCTGACTCTCTCTGCCGTATTTTTTTTTCTTCCCCCGTTTCAGTCAAGTGGATGTGATGACGGCGGCGGCGGATGACGCATTAATCGCGCGACACAACTAATCGATGATGAAATTCGTTGCCAACGCTTTTAAAAGTCGATTTTTATCGATTCGTTGTTGCAGCCCTAATAACTATATAAATAAGTAAGATAGTAAACCTTAAGCAATAAAGTAATAAATAATTGTAAATAAATGTATACTGGAGGTGGCAATTTATACGTATTACTACACTAAAGAAAACAAGTGGGAACTTACTTTGCAGTTTGCATAAAATTTTAAGTTTTTAACTTTTTTAAACAAAGATAATCATTCAAATGAATCAAATAATTGAAAAATCTTATCAAACTCTAATACATAGTTGCATAATGGAACCATGATTTGCACAGCAACAATGCTTTGACACGTTTCCTACAATGTCTAGAACAACCAAAAAAAATGCTACAGGGAGGATTTTGTTTTAATTGTAAATCTACAGACAGTGACATATGTGCTGCCGGCACTTCTAAAAAACATGACAAGACGGGTGACAGTGGTGCCAAAATATGTGGGGACTGTGTAGAGTGGTTGGCCTAACACAAAATACTATTGGCTGGAGAGGAAAACAGCGATGCCTTTCCTGGAGTCATAACAAACATGGTTTCTCCGTTCAGTAAGAGACACAATAAAAACATAATTTATTTTCTTTTGATAAAACACAGCTTCAAAACATTTTGGTTTAGCCCAAAATTGTGCGTTTTCTTTTTTTTGTGTGTGTTTAGCTCAGGGTGATGTGAGGTCTGATTCCTGTATTTGATGCTCTTGCTGAAATACCAGAACCAAAACACAAGAGAAAAAATTGAAATCTAATAATAGAGGTGTTATTCTGTGTTTAGGTCCACTATGTGTCTGCTTCAAGGGGAAATAACAAAAACTGACAATCTTTCAACCTTGTGTAAACTCTTACAACAGCGCAGCTGCTAACCACACACTATTTTTCAAAGAAATGTAAAAATGCAAAATAAATGTTTTTGTATCGATTGTTGTGGAAACCAAGTAAAAATCTTTTTAACCTCCAGTAATTAACTTTGGAGAGTTGGTCTACTGCTTTCATGCATTTTGATCATACTTTTACTTATTGTTCCCAGATCACAGCTAATCAAATGCTATTAAAAGCTCTATTTTTACTTTAAAAATGGAAAAAAATAAACAAAAAAAGAAAACTTAACCTAAAATGACAGACCTCAAGGAGAATCAGCTCCCATTCTTTGCTGTTTTCCCACCTTTCAGAGTTAGTTCTGACTCAGTGATCCATTCTGTCCCTGGAGATGAGAAAGTATGAACCCTGACCTGAAACTTGTATGAAGACAGGCAGAAAAAAACAGCATCTAACTCAGGGGACATCAACAAACAACCGCTCAAAGGTGTGTGCGCACATCTATCAGGTAGTCAAATGTAAGATTACACTGTGTTGCTAATACTGCAATAAATCTGGGTGATGTGCTAATTTACTGATGCACATTTAATGAACTACAAACAAAGCTGAAATATGGGGGCTCTGTTACAGTTCATCTCTCCCACAGTAATTAAATATTATTTTAATTGAAGTACAACCCAAGGAGTTCTACCGTTCCCATGCAATGCACGAAAACAGTTTAGAGTTAGATGAGCTCTGAATACTCATATATCACTTCATCAAGCAGAATCATGATCTGATTTTGACCTAATTTATTCTTTAAACCTGACAACGACCCCAAACATGCAGCCAGAAATGAACTATTTCCACTCACAAGAACAATAAATCCCTCAACAGATGGCTGGTCCCAAAAGAGCGCTGATCTCGGCATCAATGAGTCAGTGAGGGATTACATGAGGAGAGGAAAGCAAGCGAGACTGACTAAATCCACAGAAAACTGAAAAAGTTCCCAGAGCAGCCTGGAACATCCCACTTTGCTGGCAAAGATTCAGCATAAGAGTATCAAAGGTATGTCATACTGTTACATTTATGGTTCTATGCAGTGCAATGAATTAAACACCACGAATCCCTTAAAAGCACATCAGCTTATCATAGAAATACTCCACTACTTAGCATCTAATCTAAGGTATGCTTATACAGTTAAGATGAATAGTTTATTGAATAATTATTTCTAATTTTTTCAGCACAAAAACGTTAATCTCAATTGCTGAACATATATTTTAACAGCTTTTTCTCCCTTAGAAAAACAGTATGAATGAATTATCACAAACAAAATTCAAAAAAGTATGTAGTAATCACAGCTAAAACCCATTCTTGAGCACAAATGTGTAAAATAATGTAATTTGTTTCGTTTTTTTTAATGCAGCTTAAGAGCAGGTTGTGCATATAACATATTAGACTAGATTAGATTAGATTAGATTAGATTAGATTAGATTAGATTAGATTAGATTAGATTAGATTCAACTTTATTGTCATTACACAGGTACAGGTACAAGGCAACCAAATTCAGTTTAGGTCTAACTAGAAGTGCAATAGCAGCAAGTGCAGGATAAATAATTGGTTCCATAAGTACAGGACATGGGTTTCTACTGAATAAATATAGAGATGAATACCATTATAAACAGAATTTTACTGATAGATTTGTCCTATGAATATAATATATAAATAACTAGTGTTATGAACTAAATTTACAGCTGGATATGTATTGAATATAATATACAGGTGGATGTTACTATAGGGTTTTTACAGATATGTACAATAGCACAATATACAGAGTTGGCAGGTGAATATGTACTATGAATATTGTACAGGTGGCTGTTACTATAGGTAGGAAAGTAATGTTTCTGTACATTCCGATTAATGTTTAGGAAAATTTGCTTTTTGGAAAAAAAATGTGCTTTAAAATGCTATATGTATTTTATTTGTAGGGTAAAAATTCTATGTCTTTTTAACCACCGATCCTCAAGCTTGCTACAGCTCAGTTAAATCGTTTCAGCCGTTAACAGGGCAAGGCCATCTGACAGAATCATTTAGCATTCTATCAAATCTTCTTCAAATGTTTAAATATTACATATATATTTGTATTCTCTCCGCCTGAACTGACAAGTTTCTTTTGAACTTCTCTCCAGTTAACTTGACACTCCCCTGCGGCGCAGTTCTTCCCTATAATCAGTCACCATTTAGCCCAGCAGGAGAGCAGAATCCCATGAATATTTTTTTTTCTTCATGCAGAAAAAAGTTGAGACAAGACTGACGGAAAAAAAAAACTGAAACTTGTTCATATCTCTTTTGAGATGGGGATTTGTGGATGTGATATTGAAGTAAAATGTCAACACAACCCAATACCAGTTGTAATACTCTTACATACTTCAACACATACATTCCTATAGCATTATAGGCAGTACAACTACTAAAAATAAGTTGAGGAAACTTGCTATAAAAATGACTAACTTGATAATTGAATGTTTTTTATGCTATTTATCAGTTGTGTATCTCTAAAGCTTAAAATCCTGAGGTATCCCATCTGTTCTCCAAAGGAACTTTACTCAAATGTATAATTTGAGTTAATACACTGATGAAAGACAATAAAAAAAAACTTGTTATTTTTATGATAAATGTATAAAAAGCGTCAATATGAGATGTGAATATTCACCCTTTAGGGTTATTGAGGTAAAACACAGCAATTTCCTCCCATTCAATCTCATAGAATTAAATTCAATGTCATTTCAATACCACATTTTCTTCAAAGCAATTAATGTTATTGCCATTAACTAAAGGCAGAATTAAATAAAAGGGTAACAAAGGTAGCTTTGAAAGTGAAGATGTAATCCAGAAGTGTCTCATTTTTTGAAAAACTGTCAGTATATCAGTTTATAATTTCATCCTCTGCATTTGTTAATTAAATTCAACCACATTTTAGAGCGGCAGACTCAAAAGTTCGTTCATTAACAGATGTAAATGTTTCAAAGGCAATTGACAGAACCGCAGGAACAAATGTTAATGGCTGATATGTTTGACCTACCGATGTACTGGTTCCACTCTGGATCGAGATCAGCTTGATTTGCCAGGCAGCCCTTCATCACATTAAGGCAGTAATTCTTGCAGGGTTTCACTCCTGGTATGCCACGGCAAAAAGGGCAGTACAGCATTTTTGTCAGTGCTCGTATACAAGCTGGTGTGCTGTTTACCTGCAAGGACACAAAGTTCAAAAGCTGTCATTAAATTCTGGATAAGCTCTTGATAGACTGATGATAACAATAAAGAGCAAATGTCATCATATTTTACAGCCACGCAACTACAGATCCTACAGTGTGAAGAAAAGACAAATCTGTTTTTAAGTTGTTTTTAAATGGAATTTAAAAAAAAATTCTCCACAAGAAAAAGAGGTTAGCTTATGTTCAAGCAGAGCAGCAATAGAAAACAACCTTTATCTACAGAAACGTAGGTGTTGCTGCTTGTAGACAACAAAATATCAAATGTAGAGTTAGCTCAAAATCATAGTTCAGGGAAAAAATGTCTGTTGTGAGAAACTGAGAAAAAACAAACTTAAAGAATTTCAGAGCTATGAAAGACGGTGTGCTTGGGAACAGAGCTTTGACAGCTAAACACAGAGGGCTTATGAGCAGAAAGTTATGACTTTCAGCTGCTTGCATTCAGCACTATTAAAAGTTTTCACAACCAATACATTGGTTGCTACTCTGAATTATGTAAGTCTCAAAGTTATTCAGCAAATGGTTATTTTTATTGTGGTGACTAACAGGTAGATTATGTCTATAACAGAGCACTTTTAAAATGCTGGTCAGTTGGTTCTCCAGCTTCTCTTTGAAATAGAATATTTTAGGTAGAAACTTAAAGCTTGTACCCAGTTGCCTTTGGCTCTTGCTCTTTTTTTACATTTTATTTCTTACTCCACATATATTTCTAGATTTCAGACCTGGACATTAATATTTGAGATACATCAGGCAGCAAATATTTTTGGGAAAGAGCCTTTTTATTATTTATCATTATCCGCTGATAGATGAATGTGTTCTCCAATTTATCAGTGCATTCAGCTGTGAGGCCTTGAGATCACGGGAAGTGCATAGATTGCTGTTCACTCTATTTGCTGTTCATCCATAAACAAAGAAAAGTTGTAAAAATGTCAAAATACATAAGCCTTTTCGCCACAGCGGGATTTATTTAAATAAATATGTATCAGGATTCTTTTGTGCGAATTCTTTTATTGATTTGAGAGAAAGTATTTCCAAAAATACAATGCAGGAAAATAATAATAAAAAATATCTCTCCTCTGAAGGACATGCATGAACAGCATCTGTGTGAAAAGTCTGGACTGAAACTCAGTAGAGGTTTTCTAAAAATGCTCCAGAGAATTTCCACTGAAGAAGTGTGCATGAGAATAGCTCAACTTTAGAGTGATATCTGTTCAAAAAGGCATGATGAGTGAGAAGAGCAAAATCCTTCATGCCACACAATTTCAAATTTAGTGCTAAGTAAAAAATGTTAATCTAGTTAGCATTGTTGTAGTTTGGAAAAGAGCTATTTACCTATACTTTATCCAAATATCACTTCTTAAATATGGATTAATGGATTGCAATCCATGAAAAAATCAAAAATAAAAGTAAAAAAAAAGAGAGATAGCTACAATTTTTGGCACAAGTGTTCTTTAATCATAAGCAGCTGGATAAAAAGTAGGGCATAAAGAAAATGGGAGGACCATTCAGTAAATGGCCAGGGGCCTAGAGTCAGCCCCAGTGCAGCTGCAGTGACGACTAAAGCCTCAAACTGCAAATAATTAGTCTAAATTCCTTAAAATCAATGTATTCATCCTAACTTTGAGTAGGCAAATAAGATGATCTGCCAAACGAATTTGTATTTTTACCCTTCAAATAAAATAACTAGATTTAAAGCATTTGGTATAAGAGATTGCAGTTGCTTTTTTTCTTATTCTAAATATAGTGTTATTTAATTGGCAAAAAAATACTTATTTGATACAAATGGACTTAGTGAGATTTTTTTTTTGCAGTGTAGCATATGGTGTGCATGTTAAACCAGAGAAACACAGAAAAATAGTGTGTACTGTTTTTTAGGGTTTATATGTAGAGTGCTAATTGTTAAAGAAACAGATGTAGCATAATCATCACTATAATACATATTTATTAAATTGAATTACTGAATATTGAAAAGTACCAACTTTTCCATTTTATTCTAAATAATGTCAGAGGACCTGCATGTGCTTTAACTCGTCCTTAGTACTTTTTCTTTACATTTATGAAAAGCTGTCCCTGGCTGACTGATCACCATAGTAACAATTTCAGGATTTACACATATTTCTGGTCTTTTTAGAGGGTCAGAATAAAGCAAACACTTACAGCATAAATGGTAAGCAATGGTTCCAATTAGCTGATTTCAATCAAGCTTGGAGTTCATATAATCAGCCAATTTTCTAAAAAAAAAAAAAAAAAAAAAAAGAAGAAAAAAAGGAAAAAAAAAGACTCTCTTCTGTGCTTAAAAAATGCTAGAATTGTTAAGCAGCAAAAGGCTTCCAAATTGTATACTTTAGACCATTTTAGGGTTATTTATGCACATAAATCAATCTGATTTACTTACGGATTAGGGTGGTTTTAGAGTGAGCAGTTCTTTCAACTAGTAATTTCTCTGTGTGAAATTCTAACTGCAAGACAATTATTCATTGCAAATGTGATACAAAAACTTTCATGCCAAATAATTAGGTAATCAGATTCTACCAGACCACTAAGCTGCACATAACATTTGTTTTCCTAACTTTTACTAACAAAGAGAAAATGACCAAAACACAACAACTGTTTCAGCTTATTATTCAGCATTTCTAAGCTTTTATAAAATCTGCTGTGCTTCTATCTTTGCGTTGTTCTTTTAAAAATTTAAAAGGAACGGCTACATATTACGAGTTCTTAATTTCTCAGAGGGAAGAGATACAAATACAAGTAGTGACACTAATTTAGCTTTTGTTTTCTGCTACAGTAATTTACTTGTAGTAGTCTGGGTTGGTCAAATTTCTATTCCATGTGAATGCCTATACAATAGATAAGAAGGATTTGGCTAATGCTTTCTATGTCAAGGTCATGTGACTTTCTAGGAAGCATGGTCAAAACTGAACATTTAAAATCATTGAGTGGTGTTAAATGGACATGCACAAGGATAAAAAGCTCCATTAATACTTCTGGGAAGCTAACAAAACCCCAATAGAGACTGAAGTTAAACACCCATCTATTCTTGGTCTATAGCTGTTCATTCTAAGCAGAAACATCCCAGGGTAGGACTCACACCAGATAAATGCAATGCAACAACTAACGTACTGTTCCCTCAGAATGAACAGCTGGAGAGAGTGTTTTGTTTACTCCTCTTGACATAGAAAAAAAACCCAACTTTCTGACAATAGGATACTAGAACTGCTGAAAGTGCGATAATGATATGATCGATGGTATAGCCCATGCCCTCGGTTTAATGTCTTACGGTTATAAGGTGTCTTCGCTGCCCTTTAGAAAAATTTAAAACAAATGTGGATAAGAAAGAGACATAATAAATATTAGCTCTATTAAAACCAGTGTTTAATCTAAACTCAGATGTTTTAAACATTTGAATGTAAATCAAAATAAATAATTTTTAAAAAGTGCTGACACCAACAAAGAGAAACAATTTTAAACACGGGAACAAACCTCCTGAATACTGTAATTATAGTTATCAAATGGATTAAGCAATAAAGAAATCTGAAAAATGAATCTATTACATAAAAAAAATATATTTAAATTAATCTTATATCTTTTTTTATATGTATAAAGGCGTCAAGAGGGTTGAGGTTGGAAACCTGGAGATGAGCAATGGTTATTAACAAAATAATACAAGTAAGAATGTGGCTTAGAAACACAATATGCTTTGTTTTACTTGGATTTCTGTATAGATCCTGTCTTCCAATGATCTGGAGAATATTTAAATATGCTTGTGTTTTTCTAATCATTCCCAGTGATTCAGAGAAAAAAGCTTCATATGCTTGTGTTTTATTTGAATGAATCGTTGTTTTGTTTCAAGATTAACAAGCTATGACATTATTAACATTGCCTGCCGAAGACACAGACGTCCATCCCCGTGAACACATCGACAAACAACTTTCACAGGACATTTTTGGACTGTTTAAAAAATGTGAATATTTTCAAGACTGGACAATCTGATGAATCTGAGTGCATAAACATTATTTTTTTCCTCTGTGAATAATTGAGAGGGAAAGTATTTTTTGTTGAAATGGGTTTGCAATGAGTTTTTGATGTTTTTCTTGGGCTTTTCTGTAAACTAATGATAGTGTTTGATTATCCTTTTTGCTCACTGTATATAGTTGCACCTATTCTTTTAAATTAAAGTTTTCTAATAAAATAGATTAAAAAAACACTGGGACATAACTAAATGGGAAAGGAAATGATTCGTATTTCTTACTTCCACCGTTGCGTGTATTAGCTGCGACATATAAATCAAGATGCTATGACGGAAAACATTTTATGCTTATTTTAAAGTTTGAAACTTGTGATTAGTGCATTTTACCTGCAACCAAATGTCTTAAAAAGGATCAGGATGATTTGACTTTTTGTTTGGATGTATGTACTATTACTTCATAGTTTGTAGGGTACACTGTTCAATAACATTGCTTTTTATAGATACAAGTTTTTGTTAAAATCAACAAGATTTCAAAAGCACAGATTTAATTTAGTTAACTGAAAATTTTGAATTTTTTTTTTAATTAATACCTTATAACAAATTCCATTGTTCTAAGGAACACAAGAAAAGCAGGATTCATTTTTGGTCCTTATTTAAACAATTTGCACTATTTATAATTATTCAATAATTATTATTAACTCAAGAGGAATTAAAGAAAATCTTGCCCTTCATTGCATCATAACATGTTTTCTTTAGTTTTTTTTATTGCTATTTTAAATAAACAATAATTGAAAACCAAAAAGTAACTTAACTGTGAGGTGGTTTGAAAAAGATGAATGCTTTTCAAAACTGTACAAATAAAAATTTTATAATTGTTGTGTCTCTTATTCTGATAGTGCTGCGTAACTCCAGCTGTTCATTTATGGCCTTAGGGGTTTGTTAGAAAACATAAAAAAAAAAAAACAGCTTCATAAAACCAAGAAACGCAGCAGATAGACCAGGGGTGAAACTGACATCAAGAAAGGTTCTTTTCTGGAAAGCAGCCAAGAGGCCAATAAAAACCCTGAAGAAGTTTCTGAGATCTTTGTCACAGAAAATTGACAAACAAAAAACTCATCACTCTGAATGTACCGGTACCATAATGGTAAATCATGGTGGGATCCTGTTTTTCTTATTTTAGCGGCCATCAATAAATCACTTCTTTCTGAAGGTGTAAAAACACTAAATCTAAAGAAAATATATTATCAGATGTAAGAAGACAAACATTTTAAAGATAAAGCTGCATGCATGCTTTGTTAAGCCCTATTTGAAATGTAGCTGCAGTTTATGTGACCGTCAATGAATTATACGTCTCAATTTTGGAGCAGAAAGGAAATATAATTTCAACTTTACCATTTTTAATTCAGTGTATTTCACATCTCTGCAGAAATGAGCATAGCTTTCCAGTCTTGGTGGCAACGTGAAACAGTCGCCTCCAGCAGGGTGTCTCTTTTCATTACATGTTCCCTCAATCCGTCATGATGAGTTTATACACAGTGGATCAAAGAGCTGCAGTCCCAGACATCTGACCCGGATCTCAGGGTACCACCGAAATGTCAAGAGGTGAAGTTGGGACATGCTGGCATGGAAGAGGAGCAGGGTGTAACCCAGTAAACACGTGCTAACAACGCATCCTGTGCGACAGCTTCAAAATGAGCCTAACCACTGTTACTGTAGAAGGGAGGTAAGCTGAAGCGAAGGGAAATATCTTTTAGGTTCAGGGAGTGCACAGTGAGGACAGCCTGAAATGAATGGATCTTGTGGAGGAGAGGAGAATATCAGCTTCCTCTATTCTATCTGTCTCTCATAGTTGAGGATTACAATATTTCCATGGGCTTCTACTTCAGCTGTACAGAGACTCTATTATTATTACTCATAGGGCTGATAATTGAATTAAAGCGATTACAGGGAGAAAAAAGTAAACAGAATCGCTTGAGAAATCATCGCCTCTTCCTATCCTTAAGAGGGCTTTTAGAAACAGCTTTGTTGTTGCTGAATGTGACTATAGCCAAGGTTTAGCCTTTTGCTTTTCATTTTACCTAACTTTGTACGTGATGAGAGCTGTATCAATTCCCAGACTGCAGCACCAACATTATATTGCATCAAACTGAAAATGACTGCAACAGCATGATTAATGGCTTGTATATGCCGTGTGAACAAATATTAGGCGAGAGAGCAATAAACTGTGATAGCAGAAATGCTTTTCTCTTCACTTTCGTTGTCAGGGCATCTCTCCTGAGAAATTCACATAACCTTCAAACCAGTTTTCTAGACAGTGACAGAACGGGCTCCTTTGAGCCTTTCATTTCCTGAAGATGACTACATGAAGAGCATGCATTACTCAGAAAGAGTATAGCAAGGAAAAGGAAGTCTTTCAGAGTCAAAAAATGTTTTGGGAGGAAGTTTTAATTTCATTTAAGGTCACATGATAAATATTTTCCCTCTGAATAGGAAACCTAGATCAAATTCACAGTTTGTTTTAAAGACATTTTTTTACTTAATGAAATAATATTTTAATGAAGTTGAACTGCTAAGAAATTTTACCTTAGACACTCTCTGGGCCACTTCCCGGCCTACAGAAAGCCCCTGGACGAATGTGCGTGCAGCGATGAATGCACGAGTAACCTGAGCCTTGAGCTTCCTGGGCACATCTCCAAATGGCTTCAGCTCATCTGTGTACTTGCTGATACACTCCAGATAGTCTTCAGTGATGACATACTGGGAGTTTAGCAGCGTGAACATGCGCTCCAGCAGCCGAGACCAAAAATCATTAAGCATTTCCTCCAGATTAACGTTTCCTCCTGTGTAGTATCGCTTGAGCTCTGCAAACAGGTTCTCAAAAACTTCAGCGTTCTGCATGTAAGGCTTGCCGTAAGTCCTCACGAACATCTCATTCAGGGACCGCTCTGTGTTTTCCAGAAGCTCCAGGAAAAATTCTGGGTTTGAATATATAAAACAGAAAGAGAAAACAAATCAAATTATACTGTGCAGATACTTACTCATAGAATGATACATAATGTAGATTCAGAAAATAATTAAATAATTCAATTATGCATTTGCAAACCAGTATTTTCAGTAGTACTAATTTATAACACTTAACAGCAGTAATCAAACATCTGTTATGAATTTTAATATTTCTCAATGCATATACTCTCATTTTGATAAATTGTGATGGTTTCTTTCCAAATCTATCCCTGGTGATTACAGTGGATGGTCTGTTTTTTATTTTTGCAAAAGGCCCTGAGAACCTTTCAATACTACATGGTGAGAACTATTTGAAACACCAGGAAATTCTCAAGAAAAAAGTTGGTAGACCTTATTAATTAAAATAAGTAGGCTAATCCTTTCACTGTATCTATAAACAACTTGTTGGTTTAAAAACTTGTTGGTGGCCAAATTGACACAGAGTTGATTTGACAAGGAATTTACATTACACTATGGTCATCTCATTTCTAAGCTAATTCACACAAGCAAAATAAGAGGTTCGGTGAAGCAAAAATCTAAGACACAGGGTTATTTAGAGGGATTATGCAATGATCTCTCAGTAAAGAATGTTGTGCTACAATGGTAAAATGTGTTATAAATGTTTTAGAAGTAGTAAGTAAAGATTATGGTATATGACCTCATATAAAAAAAATGGGTGATTTTTCTCCTTTACTGAATAGACCAAGGGGCACAGTGATCCCTGAAAGTGGATCAAACACAAGAAAGGGTTTAAAGATTGACTGAAAGCTTGTTTATCATTAGGTCCTCTAAAGTCTGTGTTTCTGTCTGTGTGTCCGCGCGTCCGTCCATCCATTAATTCTTGCCAAACTCAGAACAAATAAAAACATCTTGGTTCTTGCAGTATGTAACAAGTTTTAGTATGATCCAAAGATCATCATCCTCACAGATCAGCTGGCAGGTTGAAAAGAATATGCCCAGGGTCAGACTTTTTGCTAAGGACAGGATGATTTCACTGCCTTAGGAGTTTCATAAATGTTAGGAAATAACCTTATCCTTCAGCCGGATTAGAGAACCCTGGTCATAGTTATATTTTAAGGAATATATATATATATATATATATATATATATATATATATATATATATATATATATATATAAGATAATTAGGCAGTGGCCAAAGTTGCTTCAAGAGTTCAGTCATACAGAAACTCTGGAAGTAATCAAGCTAAAGATGAGAAGTACTTTAGCAATATACATGTGAAAATACAAATGACAAGATTGTATTTTAAAATAGGTTACAACTAATGTGAAATCAGAATAAAAGCAACCGAAATGGAACAACTATGGCAGTTTTTAGTCTTGTCTAATCCTAAGAACCAGCATTGCTTGTTTTCTAAAAATGTTTCCGGTCTCAGTTCTCTTCCAATTATCCCAGATTGGGTCACAGGGGGAGAAGGTCAAGTTGGGAAACCTTCTCTATCCCCAGGAACACCCTCCAGCTCATTAAGGGACCCCAGGCCAGATGTGTTTATAATTTCTGATGAATGGCCTAGTAAGGGTTTAAATCACGGTTTTCCAAGGTGTGGACTAAATTCTATAAGAATGGAGCAGAGGCAGGGTGTTGCTGTTTTTACAACCAGTGCTGGAAGTACACACCAGATGTTTGTCCCAAAGTCAGGCCCAATGGGAATTTAATGAAGTCATATTAAATCCATTTACCTTAGGTTTAGGTTTCTCATCCACAAATTAATTGAGCTAATCTCTCATTAAAGGGAATAAACCAAATGTATTAAATTAGGTTCAGGTATTAAGTTTAATGACCTAAGGTTTAGGTTCCTCTGAAAGATCTGATATGAACTTTTTTCTTTTTGTGTGTTTTGATAGAAAAGTGCTTAAACACTCCTACTGTACAAACAGCAGTCAGTGTTACAACATGAAAATGAAACCAAAAATTTTGAGAATAAATTAAAACTCTGAATCACCTTGTTTTGAAAAAAAAAGACACAATTATTTGATCAAACTAACCAACTACCAGTGTGCATTCTCGATATGGATTGTAAAAAATAGTGGTACATTGCGACTAAAGCAGGATGCTTCTTATTTCAATGGGAAGCTCTTGAAATCATGTTGTGCAGACCTTTGACCACAATTTAAAAAAACTGCATCAAGTGTGATGCAACCTCACTTTTTTTCAGCTTTCTAGGTCAGGAATTTTTAAGAAAAATTACAACTCTTTATAAATTCCAGTGGCATTTACTTAAAATCAGAAAAAGGAAAAATAAAAGAGAAAATAATCAAACATATCCTATCATTCTGAGATATAACTAAAATGTTTTCTCTATAACCTAGATTGAAACAAGTTGATTAAAAATCTATCACAAATCAAATCACAACACGAGCTTTATTTAAACAACAATTACCATACGGAAAAAATATTTCATAAACCATGCATATGTGTACTCATTCACCAGCTGACAAATGAGCATATAGAGGGACAGTACGTTTTGATTGGTTAGACCAGTGCCCAATAGGCTCTGGCTGGAAAAGAACATCTCACATTTGCAACAGCATTTCATTCTTGTAAAAAAACAAAACAATAAGCACACTAAAATACTAGTGATATAATTAGGGACTTCAACTTGATAAGAGCAGTAAGTTTCACAATTAGGGGTCAATTTATCTATATAAATGTCATGCTTTTAGCACTGATGGCTTGCTTGATTACTCTTTTTATTCACCTCTCTAGCTGTTTCCTGTTCCTCATCACTGCTCATCTGATCCACCTGCTCCTGCTTCTATTTAAACTCCTTGATCCCAGCCATCAGTCCCAGATTATTCTTTAAGCCTTTGGTGTTGAGAGTTCTATAGCGTTTGTATTGTGTTCTGATTCTGATCCGTTTCTGTATTTGGACCTTTGAGCCTGCCTGCCCTTGTCTGATCTGTTTGCCTGACCTGTCTTTGGACTCCTGTTGGATTCTTCTGTGGACTGAACCTGGATCTGCCTCTTGACTTCACCGTGTAGATTACCCTGTTTTCCTTTGTCAGCTCGGATCTGATCTCCTGCCAGCTCTGCAGCCCTCTAGGCTTCCATGTCTGGAACTCTCTGTCAGCGTCCGCTGTGTCTTGTCAGCCGTTCGGCTGGAATCATCCTTGTTCTCTGAGCACGGACTGAACTGTCAGAATCCGAATTCTGGGTCCTACTTTCGGAACTTTTACAATAAATTGCATAAAATCTAATTGAGGATATAAAAAATGAAATGCATGCCTAACTAGAGGTTTAAGGGGAAAAAATCTAGTATGAATCAAGACTCATACCTTTCATGATCTGTTGGTGTTATACTTTGGTTTTCATTTAGTGTTCATGTATTTCAGCATTTCCTTGGTATTGATTATCATGTTTTACAGTCCTCACCAAATTCTATTATCATTGTTGCCCTTTTAGTTCATTTCTTTATGTTGACTAGTGTCAGGTGCTTTCAACTTCCTTAGTTGATATGTAAACTTGGTATGCATTTCTTTGCCAGTGAGTTTATGACATGTTTTACTGTTTTTTATTTTTTTGTCCTGTACCATTGGATAGGTACTTTAGTTTCCCTCTTGTATTTCTATTTGTCTGCCCCTGCTATTAATTCTCCCTCAGCCTGAATCAGTAGGTAATGAGTATATCCCATTTTCATAGCTTCTGCATATGTAGGCACCCATTTCCAGTGCTTTTACGTGAGGTCAAGTCTGCTAATGTCTGCAGAAAGGTCAGGTTTTCAGAGCTTCATTCTAAAGTTGTTTCCTTGGCGACCGTGTACACCAAGACAACTCCTTCATCAACCATGATTTCAAGGCTGAAGATGGTACTAGGTTTTCTTGCAGGTGTTCAAGCAACCTTGGCGGTCGCTATACAGTAGGTGACCTAATACTGTATACACAAGGTAAAAGCTTGCTGCACCATACTACATAACAAGCCACCGTCACCCAATAGATACCAAGGTTATAGACTTCTCCTTATTCCCTGGCATAGAGGAAGACATCATCAACAACTGAAGGTGCTTATCACTTCAAGTAATGTTGAACAATATGCACAGGGGACAATGAGCTCTAAACTGAATGGTATATATTAAAATTGCCCGTTGTATTTTTAGCCCTGAACCAGAGAAGATCAAATTCAGTCAAGATTAAAAAGCCATGAAATACAAAAAAATACAAAAAAGCTCTTATTAGCAAAATTGGAGGAGCTGCTGTTTGTGTCCATCTGACTTGGACTACTTGCAGGTGTCCTGTGAATACCAGTGAGATTGGCTTGTCTATACGGCCATTTATCAAAAGCAGACTATTGAGTATTTGAAATATGTAACTGGCAGTATTCTTATCGGTGGCAGACTTTTAAAGGGACTGATAAATCTGTCAAAACGACCACCTTTTTCTCAAAGTGAAAACACTCCTTAAACAGTTCACATGAAGTAAGTCACATCTCCATCCAACATGAGAAATGCACATCATAGCAAATTATCATAATGGCCCAGACAAAAGTGTGATGGATTTATAGTGGTCATTAGCTCTAAGCTAAGCAGGTGTAGAAAAATGTTATTACTCTCCATGATATCACACTTGACTTGTTATATCAAAACCAAACCAAGAAAAAGTATAAAAATTGGTCTTACTTCAATGGATGTATGGTGCTTGAAATACTATTGCTATTTGAATGAGACTGTGTATTTTTAGTCACTATATCCACAATAGATAGGATTTCAGGTTGTTGCTGTTTGAATGAAAACTGCTTAGGATTTATCACATGAAATTTGTTTGAAATAAGGATGCTATCTTGTCAAAGTTAATTTTTGTCAATTTCCATGTCTTATCAGGCTTTGTAAGTTTTAGATGACTACAATAGGTCCTCTGGGGAGCTGGTAAAATTAGCTTACCTTTTGTTACACTTTGCTTTCATCCCAGGCTGCTTTTGTTTTACATCCAATGTAAAAAAAGAAACTCTACTACAATG